CCTAGGCATACGGAAATCTATATGACAAATGGGAACTGGGAGAGAATTGTGATCACAAGTACAAAATTGTGGCTAATGACTATCCCTCACAGACCTAAATGTATTTGCACAAATTCTTTTTTGCAATTTTTTTTTTAATTGACATGTCATATGCAGGTATTGAATTGTACCAAAATTTTAATTTGCACATTTATTTTTATTTACACATATTTATCATTTATTTTGAAAACTTTAAATCAGAATAGAACATAGCTCATTCAGGATATATACACACGCACACACCCACGCGTATACATGCACTAATGTGCATGTGCACCCACACACACATACAAAATCAGTGCAATTCTCAATGGTCAAATCTCAAAACATACAATCAATTACACTTATTAGGCCAATTTTGCTATATGCTTCTCCTGTCTAGTCTTCTCCTTTTTATGCTATACACATACATAAAATTGAATCAATTCAACATAATGTTTTACTTTTGTAGCTTGGAAACTAAAACTCCCATCACCCATAATACCTCAGACTATTCACAAATTCCAGAAATGTTAAATTATCGAATAAAATTCGTCATATTATTGAAATTATAATGACATATTGTTTATATACAACATTTTTCATAATAATGTTGACTGAGCATATTTACTATCTATTGTTTTGTGGAAAATCCTGTCATGGAATTTTAAATCTACTAATGTTCTATTTTACAACTGTTTGGCATAATGCCCCACTTTGGCGTTTGTCTAGAGTAGTACATAAAATCAATGTTGATTTCAATATGGTTAGTTGAAACAAGTTGGTTAATTTGCCAAAACAACTGTTATTGCAATATGCAAACTACAAGCAAATGTGATAAATATTATATATTGAAATACTGTAAAATGAGTGATTGTTATATGAAATACAATTTCTTACCTACGACATCTGCAACCGTAACTCTGTATCGAAATGTAGGCTCATGAATGGCACCTTCGATTTGCACCAGTTCATATCGAGGAGTTGTTCCTCGCCGACTGAGTAATTCTTGAAGAACAGAAACCGGTGTTTTGCCAACACAAGCAACTGTCATGTTCTAGAAATGAAGACATTTACGTAATAAAATGAAGAAAAAACTAATAATATGAACACAATATATAAATATGTGCATTATTTATGATCTGTAGACTAAAATTTTCAAATCAAAGATAGAGAAAAGGAGACATCTCCAAGAGCATTCTTAGGGTTTATTAACACTGTGCTGCCAAGGCAAAGGTTTTGATTTCATTTGTCAGTTCTCCCACTATGAAGTATTGAATGTTCCCCTCAAGAGAAAATTGACAATTTGCATCCAGGTTTTATTGCACATTTATCCAGGTATTAATAGCATATTTTCTTCAGTTATAAAATATTTTCTCATTCGATTGATTTACGCTCACTACCAGATAATTAAAATGCAGGGATGCAGTCTACTTCAAAAAAAGGGTAACGAAAACAACGTGTGAACCATTGGGGCACAAAGCGAGTTTATTTCTGGTGTGCGTTCGTGAGCTGCGAAGATTCTGTCAACACCCGGCCCGACCCGGCACAACGATCGCCCATGGACCGTACAAGCGCTGGGTTCGTTACTCGACTAGCTACCAGAGGTATTTGGAGTGCAGTGTGCTAGCCCCGGTTAAATTAACATTAAAACATGTCGATAAACGCGTGCATAGAACAGGTGCATTTGCAATTAAAAGACGCACATGCAAGGAAGAAAAATGCACAACCGCTTTGCACAACATACATTTTCCATGATTCTTCCAGTATTTTCCAAGCAGGAGTTTCGAATAATACGATGGAATTGTTCGGGTGTTCTTGTTTACTCCATATTCTATAATAAAAACACAGTTGGAACAGAAAGATAATAGTGTACAGAGAAATTCACACCAACGCCGCACTCTCAAGTAGTACCATCCTTCCCCGTCTAATCCACAAATCGAATGCCACGAATTGTGAATTCAATTATCATGTAGTCTATATGCAAAGGATTATAAACTTTCTAAGCAACAAATCAATTAAGTATTCACGTTCATTATGCGACGCCTTTTGAAAATATTTTTTACGTTTGGTTTGGATATCAGCTGTTTACTTTCCTCGAAGCTCCTCCAAGGAACACTCGAAAATGTGCTCGAAACCCACGCGTAAACGAGCAGTGCTACTAACCCCTGAGACAGAAATACCCAATATAGTCCGGAAAAATATGTAGTATGAAACGTCAAAATATGTACATTAATATGTAATGAAAACAGTACGTAATAAAAATGTAATATTAAAATTTACTAATTATAAAACAGATTTATCTAATACAAAATTACATTTATCAAATATTTCTTAAACCAATTTTAAAAAGAATAAAAAAGTTTTAAAAATAATTTGGCGAGCACAAGCTGATGCACATTTTACATAGTTTTAATTTCCCCATCAGTAATAAGGAGCCTTCCAGGAGCCCCAGCCTTTGTTACCTTAACATCAGCTAATAGCATATTGTTCATTTTAAATGGAGCATGAGATTGCTGATTTGAAATGCAAAAATGCATTGAAACTGTTTTTCCTTCGTTAACTATTAACAAAATGAGTTTAAAACTTCTGAAATCGTACTATTTTTTATTTTTTTAATTTTTTGCAAAGAACATTTGTGTCAGCGGCAAACAGAACCGTTCTTCCGTTTTTAATAGACGAGTGCATATTGTTTACAAATAACAGAAAGAGGATAGGACCTATGATAAAACCTTGCGGGACCCCATACTTAATTGGCAAAGGAGTGGGAAGATAAGTAAATAATGTCCTTGCGTGCCAGTATGGTATTTCTACTACTTGAGATCGATGATTAAGGTACGAGGCTATCCAATCTAGGGCGATACAACGAATTCCATAAGAAGGTACTTTTGATGCCGAGATGTTATGGTCGATAACGTCAAAAGTTTTCGAAAGATCTAAAAATATTCCAACTGGTCCATTGGTAACGAAACATCCTTCAGACAAGAAAAAAATGCAGTTTCCGTAGATTTTGATTTTCAAAAACCGTGTTGAATCCGAAAACGCTTCGTTTTTCCTGAGAAAATTTCCATTTGCGTATAGAAAAGCCTCTCTAATATTTTTGAGAATACTTACAAAAGAGAAATTGGCCGGTAATTTTGAATTTAATATTTGTTCCCTTTTTTAAAAAGTAGCTTAACTTTTTATAATGAAAATATCTGGTAATATTCTTGTGCATAAAGAAGCATTGAAAATGTGAGTAAACGGGTGTAAAAGGCAGGCACAAACATGTTCAATAAACAATCCCTTAAATGAATAAATACGTTAATTCTTGTAGGATTGTGATAAATACTGCCCGGAAGTTTATGAAAAATCATATTTTTAATTATGAGGTTTATAATATGCTAATTATCAAATATCTACAAAACATGATCAAACGGACAGAAAATAGACGATTTTATACAGCATATTTAGTACCTTTCATGTTAATGCATTATATTTCCATTACATTAAAATTATTAATATTTTATTGCTTTTTTTTTTTTAAATTTCCACCACTGGTATTTTACGCGCATGTTTTTTTTAGCTCTGGCATACATACCCTCACTTCTTTACTAATATTAGTTGAATTCAGAATAAATGATAGCAACAAGTTTTCTTAACAAACTCTGATCAGAAGTGTTTGCTCCTGCCTAATAAAAAATAGTTTGCATCGGAAAACGAGTTACAGATTTTATATAATAGTCCTGTCAATAAAATAATCACCCCCCCCGCCATTCCCCTCGCATCTAGCGACATGAGGGCTCAAGAAAACGTACGTGGATAATACTAGCAATACTAAGCAATAACACGTGCCTCAAAGGCTTCTTTGAAGTGCTTTTGTATTGAAAATGACAAACATTTTACCTTCTCCAGGAGGTCGCTCACTTCGCTCCTGGCGCGCTTGGGCGACGGCGGCTGCCACATTTGCGTCTGAAAATGATTTTCCACTCGGGAGACGCTCTTGCCATCTACTTCTCTCTGCCTCCAGCACACACACAGGTCCGCAGTGCGGCGTGGAGGGCGTGGTGCAGTGGCGGAGGATCGCGTACGCGAACGTTGGCCGGCCGCTATCGCGCGCGCTCGGAGATCGGGGACTCCCCGCAGGAGTGCCAACCGCCGGGGGTCGGCACAGAAGAAAGATGTACTCGTACTAGAGTGGGCACTGGGCTGCCCAAAGCACGAAGGAAACTCAACCATAGTTTAACACTATGACCATCTATTCATTCGTGACTTCACTCCGGTAGTGCGAGTATGTATTATACATGCACGTTTTCTTGAGCCCCGGAATATCTACCCCCACTCCTTTGACATTAGATGATTTAAGAAAAAATAATAATAACGAGCGTTGTAGAGAAAATCTGATAACCAGAAATGTTCCCTCCCATGTATTAGAAACTATTTTACTTCGAAAAGCGAACGAATCACTTTTATATAAAATTCCTTTTGTGAAAATAACCAAACTTCCCACTCCCCTCGCAACTAGCGAAGCGAGGGCTCAAGAAATTGTGAGCGGATAATACCAAAAACGTCGGATGCTTCTTGAAAAACAAAATAAAATCTTTCGCTTCAGCGACATCACGCGGCGAATGAAAGAACCTCGGAGGAACCTTTCTAAGCAACCAATAATGGCAGGGGAGCCAAGCTTTTCCGCAGGAAAACCAAGCTTTTCCGCGTGAAGCAATATTATTTTTTTTTTATTAACGGGACACGCCCTTGAATATAATAATAAATTATTATAATTTTCTCACATAAAAACAGCACATGCTGCTTAATGACCTGACGAGAGAGCTGCAATTCGCTGACTTACAAGGAAGGTACAAATGAAGGTAAAAATGAATCCGATCCGGTTCCAAGTCGGCTAGCACTATAATATTGCCCCATTACTTGTTCTTTCACATCGTATTGTCTTGGATTGAGGCACCCCCCCCCATAAACAAAACTGAAAAATGCAAATATACCTTCATAAATGAAAAATAATTAAGTTACAGAAGAAAAGTTCTTAATTGTTTTCATTATAATGTACAATTCTATATATTTACAAATTATTTTCTGAGAACTTATATCTTACCTCTGGCCTCGGCCAGAGCATCCGTGAAGCTATATTAACTCACAACGGAACAACCTGCGATGTAATGTATTCAACTGATACACCGCAGCTTGTGCCAGAGCAGCAGCATCAGTGGCAGCACCATCTACAAATGCAGTCACATCCGACGCAGAGCGACTGGAGAGGTGCAAGACCACCTGTCAACAGCAATACGTAAGTGCGCCAGAGCTGCAGCTCCCATCAACCGTGGCCTCGACAAACGCAGTGACAGAGAAAATTTAACAACTGATGAGAACGGTGATGCCACAGCCGAAGTATGGCGATGGTGTAACGGTTAGCGTACTGGACTATTGTACCCAAGTTGGCGAGTTCAAACCCGATCGAAGCCGTGAATTTTTAAGGGTGAATAAATCCTTGGGAGGGGAAGTAAAGCCGGCTGTCCCATGTTCGTAGATTTACTTGCATGTAAAAGATCCTCAAGCCCAAATGACGCCTCTGAGGTAAATTAAAATCGCCTTTTTTTCGCCCAAGAAATATATTCTTTCTCTCCTAGTTGGTGAAAGGAGCGTAGCGAAATTTGCGTGGTCAGACGGAAGAGCGGGCCTGATGGCCCGAGTCTCGCCACGTAAAATAAGGCAAATTCAATTCAATTCAAAGGATGGCAAACAAACACACGCAAACGAAGATAACAAAGTAATGGTAGTCAATCAAATAGTAAATTACCTACATTAAACAAAAGTGGAATTCTTCTGCAAGATAAATTTGCTCCTCTAATGAATGAAACTCAAAACTAAACTCACAACGAAAATAAGCAAGAGAAGAAACACATCTTTCTATTCCTCCTATGTGTATACCCGGCATAAAAATGTACCAAAATTGACTGATATTCTCATGCAAAATGTGAAACAAGAAAACTTTATTTACAAAATATACAAAAATGAAATCAAAGTAATGGCAAGGAGAGTAGAAGCGTACCGTTTAGTAATAAAGTTACTCGACGAAAAAATTGCAGCATATATTACGTTCCACCTTAAACCAGATAGAGCTTTTAGAGTTGAACTACGATACATGCTGATAATTGATAAAGAAGAAGTAGTCACAGAATTAAAAAACCTAGGACATACAGTTCCTAACTTGCACAATGTGAGGCACAGGCTAACTAAACGCCCACTCTTGCTTTTCTTCGTAGACCTAGAACCAAGTCCAAATAATAAAGACATTTACAAAATAGATAAACTTGTAAGTGCACTCACAAAATTTGAACCTCCTTACAAAAAGAAAACAGACGTTCAGTGCCATAGATGTCAAGAGTACGGACACACAAAGGCATACTGCAGAGAAACCACTAAATGCGTGGAATGAGCATTTATGAAAACACTAGGAAGAAGATTGGTAGCCGGCGGGCTCAATACATCGAGGGGGAAGAACCTGCTCAAAGCAACAAATAAATTAAATGTTGTGACACTATCAACTGGAGAACCTTCGTACTGGCTATCTGATACGAAAGAAATACCTTATCTAGTTATTTTCATATCAAAAGGAGTAACAGCAGATATCATTGAGATTAAAACAAACTATGTCCTAAGCTTCTATGACCCGCCCGTAGGAATGACTATCTGTTCATATGTTATTGAGCGCAGTCACTACCTAAACTGAGTAGCAAGTTTACCAGCTGGGATAAATTTGGAGTTTTACCCAAATACTACAGAATCCCTGATTTCTGTAGTGAGAATCCCTGGTTTGTGAGTCCTTGATACCGAAAAATCAATTGACGGCAAAACGTCCGTCCGTCTGTCTGTCCGACCGTCCTCCGTCCGTCCGTCCGTCTGTCCGTAATCCGTCCGTCCGTCAGTCCGTAAACCATACGTAAGATTTTTTCCCAATTGGATATTCCGCGGTCAATGTCGCTCCACCCGAGGCGCCGCGATTTTGAAAAACGTTTTTCAAAATTTCGGGGTACTTTACAAGAAGCCCCCCGAGCATTTTCAAAATTTTCTCAAAACGGGTCCAAATTTATTCTTTAAATATCTTGTAAGAATAGACTAAAATACACTTATAAAGATAGTTCCGCTTTTCATGGTTGACTCTGAATTTTCGGAAATTGGAAAAGTTTGAATTGTTTCCGCGTCTTCCTATAATTACAAAATTGAAGATATAGGTTTTTCCTTCACATAAAATTTGTTGTTCATAATTAGTTATTTCATTAATGTCCTGTACATTTTTAGAAACTTTTAGTGGCTATCGCTCAATATTGCGGTGCAATTTGTGCAATTTAAAAAAATCAAAAATAAACCAAATTTTCTAAAAAACGGCTCCAAATTTTTTCTTTAAACTTTTGATAGGGATAGTACTAAATGTACTCTATGCGAGGACACAAATATTCGTATTTTTTTTATTTTTTTCAAAAATTAAAAAAAAACGTAATTTTTAACTTGTGACTTGTCTGACGTCGTTAATATTTATATCGTTGACAATTTGTTCACATTTTTATATTTATGAGTACATGTGCTTGAAATAATGTCATGTAAAGTTTCTCGAAAACTCAATTGTTTTCTCCGTAAAAACTAGCTCATATTTCCGCATTTTCAGAAACGCTCAAAAGCAATATCCTCCAAAACGGCTCAAAATTTTTTTTTCAAATTTTTTCGAAAGGTTAGTGCTAATTACACTCCTTAATATAACATAAGTTCATTTCGTTTTTTTTTATTTTTCAAAAATTACACAAATGTAATTTATTAGAAATATCTCCCAAGCCGTTAGTATGCACATTTTCAGCGATTTGTAAACACTATTGTACATGTGATTTAAAATGCTCCTAATGACTTTTAAGAAGGTTTTCGAAAACAAATGTTTTCTGCGAAAAAGAGCTTTAATTTTCGAAATTACACATTAAACGCAATTTTTAAAAAAAACGGCTCCAAATTAAAAAAGAAGTCATTAAGAACGAGGTTTTACTTTTTTTAATATTCTTAAAATAATATTTTCGTTCCACTATTATGATAGCGAAAAATTAAGAAATTAAAAAAAAAAGTATTTTGGGCGGCGATGGTAGTTGGCAAGATAATGTCATAAGTGACAAGTTCGTATAGCTAGACCATTACGGAAAAATCTGCGCCATTCTGTGGCACCACTAGTTTGTGCCTGAAATTCCGAGATCTAGTTATTTCCATCGTGTCTTTATTGCACGTTGAGATTTTGGGCGGGAGTGCTCTCTTCCGGCACTGCAGTGCACTGGAGGGGAGGTGTCGGTGCACTCCTGCCCTCTCTCAGCAAGCCGAGCAACTAACGGGTCCCTTCGTCCAACCGGTCTGTTGCCGCTGCTTCAAAAGCGTGCATTGTTTTCCTCCAAAACGATCGGCGCGGCGAGATCGGATGTAAACCACGTCGCCATGGGTTACCAGGAGGTTGTTTGTGTCCTTCGATATTGACCAAGCAAGTGGTTGGCAACGCTTTGATTTGGAGCGGGAGAGAATCGTATGCGCAGAGGTCAAGGGCAGTTGGAAGGAACATATTAGACATGGATGAACAAGAAGAGGAAGGAGATGTTCCAAAGTCAGCCGTGTCCAGTGGGTCCTTCAGTACAAACGGAAGTGGCACTTCGAGCGAAGAGGAACATCGCGAAGGTTCGATTCAAAAGCGGTTATTCAATAAATAAACAATTATTGTCATTAGGGAGCGGGTTTTTATGAAATGTTTTTTTTTCTTTTCACTTTAGAAAAAATTGCCGTTTAGTAAAGAAATTAATTTTATGTTGTGATTTAAAAAATCCATTTTGATTAGTTCCTTTTTGCTTTTTGTGACTAATCCATTGTGACTAATCCATTTTGATTAGTTCCTTTTTGCATTTTTTGTCGATTTCGACTAATAAATCATTTTCACCTTTTCCGTATTTTTTAATGAATCTCTCGCTGATTTCTCCGATTTTAATATCATTTTAATGGTAATAGCTTCAAATATTATTTAAGAGATGCAAAAAATGTTCTCCACAGAATTCCTGAGTAGCCTATTCAATTTCCTCGTTCAGAAATTGCCAAGTCCGTCGTTGTGAGTATGAAATCTAAGGTTCCTGTGACGCCTATCAGCGTTAATCTCGGTTCGGTTGATTTCGGGATAACTAAAGTCAGATATTTGCTGATGAAGAACAATTCAA